TGCGGGCCCGCGCGCAGTGTCCGCAGCCTCGCCCCGCGCGCGTGACAGTGACATTAAATCCGCTCGCCCAGCACCGCGCCCTGCTCTCTGTCGCGGCGCCGCCGGCCCTGCCCCGTGGGGGTGCCGGGCCTCTCCAGCCCCGCGTGGTTGGGGTGCCCGGACCCCACTGCGGCCGCAGAAGCATGGAGGAGGGGGCCGAGGCCTGCGGGGCCCTCGGGGCTGGGGCGGGCGGGCCAAAGGTCCGCCCCGCCTGGGCAGGTGGGCGCCTCGCTGGGACCCTGTGCAGGGCGTAAGGGCGGAAGCCGGCTGTGGAGGCGCACACGCCGCCTGTGATCCCAGCCCTGCGGAGGCTGAGGCAGGAGGGCCCCCGAGTTCCGGGCCAGCCTGGGCTACACAGCTCGAGAGCCGGCCTCGACAAAACAGCTGAAGGGCGGGGAGCCGCTCGGCGCGAGGGCGCGGGCCGGGGGAGCGGAGCCTCGGGGACAGGGCTGAGGCTGAGGCAAACCCTGCGGCGCCGGGCGAGGCCCTGCCGGCTTGCTCTGTCCCTGCGTGCGGGAGGGGGCCCACCGCCCACCGCCTGGAGCCCGGCCGCAGAGTGCGCAGGCGCGGGGCCCTTGCTGTGGGTGGGGCGGAGCTGGTCCCGGAAGTGACGTCGCAGGGCGACCTGGGCAGTGGGACCCCTGGAGGAGCCGTCCGTCTCGGTACTGGGTCTGCGCAGCGCAGACTGGTTGTGTGAGACCAGCACGGAGACGCGTGGGACCCAGCGCTCCGGAAGGCTGAGGCGGGAGGGTCGCTATGGGGGCCAGCCACAGCAGAACGAGACCGTGTCTCAATAAGTGTGCGCTTGAATTTGTAACGGAGCCACTAACATGGTAAAGGCAGTGTGACTTCCAAATGTTCAGAGGAAAACAATTTTGGAGGGTTTTGTTGTTTTTTGGTGGGTTTTTGTGGGTTTTGGTTGGGGGGGTTGGTTTTGTGTGTGTGTGTGTGTTTTTGAGACAGGGTCTCACCATGCAGTTCAGGCTGACCTTAATCTCACTTTGTAGCCCCGGCTGGTCTCGAACTCAAAACGATCCTCCTGCCTCAGCCTCCCGAGTGCTGGGATTACAAGCGTGCACCACCACAACCGGCTCAATTTTGGGGTTTTTTGGGTTTGTTTGGTTGTTTTTTGTTTTTTCCAATTTTTTTGTTTTTTGAGACAGGGTCTTACTATGTAGTTCAGGCCTTGAACTCACTTTGTAGCCCAGGCTGGCCTCAAATTCGTGGTAGTCCTCCTGCCTCAGCCCCCACTCCCACCACTAAGTGCTGGGATCACAAGGGTGCATCAGCACACCTGGCCAAAACAATGATTTTTAAAGCGAAAAACAACCTCACAGCGGGCCAAAGAGGACATAAACAGGTAACATAGGTTTAAATATATAATACAGGAACAGATTTATATATAGTACATGGGGAAAGCAACAAACTAAGCATTTATCTCAAGAAATTAGCACTAAAAGAAAAAACATCTAAGCCGGGCGTGGTGGCACACGCCTGTAATCCCAGCACTCAGGAAGCTGAGGCAGGAGGATTGTTTTGAGTTCGAGGCCAGTCTGGGCTACAAAGTGAGCTCAAGGCCAGCCTGAACTGCATAGCGAGACCCAGTCTCAAAAAGACTGAAAAGAAAATAATCTAAAAACACAAAAAGGAGGGCATAATACATATGAAGGGAACAGAAGACTTCCAATAAATAGCACCAACAAAACTGTCTGTTAGGGCTTGGGTGGCTTCTTTTGGTTTCTGGCTCTGGGAATGGAAGCCGGGCAGTGCTGAGCCGAACTCCCTGCCCTTTTTAATTTTTTTTCTTTTTCTTTATTTTTGGTACCAGGAATCAAACTCATGACCTCAGGCTTGCCAGGCAAGTGCTTATGCCTCTGAGCTACATCCCCGGCCCTTTAATTTTTTATTCTGAGACAGGATCTCATTGCCCAGGCTGGCCTCAAACTTGCGATCCAAGTGCTAGACTGACAGTTGCTCGCCACACCTGCATAAATTGGTTCTAAGCAATTTTTTTTTTTTGTACCAGGAATTGAACTCAGGACCTTGCACTTGCCAGGCAGGTGCTTATGCCGCTGAGCTATATCCCCAGCAAATTGGTTCTTTTAAAAGATGATCCAGGGGCCAGGGATGTGGCTCAGTGGTAGAGTTCATACCTTGCATGCAAGGCCCTGGGTTGATCCCCAGCACCACTAAATAAAGAGGTACATAAAAGATGAATGAAGTGTAAGGCTGGGCGTGGTGGCGCACACCTGTAATCCCAGCACTGGGGAGGCTGAGGCAGGAGGATCGTTGTGAGTTCGAGACCAGCCTGGGCTACGAAGTGAGCTCAAGGCCAGCCTGAACTGCATAGTGAGACCCTGTCTCAAAAAAAAAAAAGATGAAGGAAGTGGAAAACCTGCTGAGGAATTGATCAAAATGAAAAAGAGGGGGGCTGGGGATCTAGCTCAGTGGCAAAGCGCCTGCCTGGCAAGC